TTTCATAGTAGTAAAGCTGACCTTGAGTATTTCTTAACCTCATCCCCCACCATCCTGGTCTCTAAAAAGAACTTGGGTCTCCTGCAGGCTCTTTCTTCAGGTGCTTGCTGGCTGGCTCACTCCGTGCCTGGTTTTCCGCTGTAAGCCTCCTGGGGGCTGGCTGTTGGCAGTCTCTTTGGTTGGCAGGGGTCTGCGGTGGGGTTGCAAGCTGGAAGACAGCTGTATAGGAGGAGCTTTGTAACAGGGTCTGGTTCACGGAGCTGTAGTCTTGAGATGGTCGGGTGTATCTGCCGGTGCCTCCACAGAACACTCACCGTGTTGCAGGTGTATCTGCTCTCTGCTGCCAGCTGTAATTAGTCATTGGTTGGCAGCAACTTTGGGTTTGTGTTCTTTCGGTATCTCTTAGGACAAGCATCTCCCAGTATTGGTCTTTCTGCTCTGGTAGTAGACAGATTGAACAGTGATTTTTTTTTTTTTTTTTTTTTTTTTCTGGAAAGCTGTGATACTCTCTATCCTCACCATTAAGGTAAAGGATGTGCAAGTAATACCCTTTACTACTTTGATATCCCTCCTAGCAAAACACTCTGTTGGTTCTTTTATATCATGGATTTCAGGCTGGCAGCCCTTCTTTCCAAAACCATAGACACAACAGGACTGTCTGTGTTTGCCATGTGCAAGACATTTCCTTCCAGGATCCTGGGGTTTGTTACGGGGCTTCCAGACATTCCTACTGCCTGTCCCCCAGGGTACGCAGTAAGGAGACAACAGGTCTGTAGCTATAACACAGGTGTGTGTCAACCTAAATTCTTCAGCACACCCTGCTGTCACTGGAACACAATCTGCCCGTGCCTGTCTGAACACCCACCAGCATCTCTAGAAGCTGTGTCCGGCCACTCATCCCTACTTTCCTTCCTACACAGCCTGCTTTTCGCTGTCAGGACCAAGGTGCTGACCCTGGCAACGCAGCTGGGTATTGTGGAGCAGAGCCTTCCCTATTGCTAGCCAGCCATTATAAGCTTGGAAATGGTTCCAGCTTCAGATTTTCTGAGAAGGTCAGGAAAGGATTGTTTCTGGGTTGCTTTTTTTTTTCCTGCAGAATTGCTTTCTTTCTGAACATAGCAGTATTTATTGCTGACTTTCCTAGCTTCTCCTTTTAATCCTGCAACTGCCATTAGATAAAATAATGAACCAAGTTACTTATTCATAAAGGCAGTGTAAATATTTGTTCTCCACCGTATTCCAATAAAATAATGTTGTCATGGATTATTGGCAGTAAGTTATTTTAAGTTATACGTCTAAAAGTAAACAAAGCTATATACATGAAAATATCTTTGATCATTTTTTATGAAGCATCTTATTCTTTTCTTTTATCATTGTTGGTATGAGATCTGAAATCTTAATGCTCATATTTTGATTTTCAGTGTCTCCCTATTTCATTTCTATGGCAAATGCTTTCGACTGAGAAATTATAAACAGCTTTTTTAAATTCGCTGCTCCTCTTCCCCGTCTGGCCTGATTCTGATCATATCATTTATATGTTGTCCTTAATTGTAGTCCACTGAGTGAATTATGTTTCTCTTGTTTGAGTTCTGTATTCTAACATTTGGCTGTTGAAATGTAGTTGGGGAGGAAGAAGTGCATACAGTCTCAAAAAAACCCTCTTTTTTCCCAAAATTGTAGAAGCTATTTGCTAGTCTAAGAGAAAATAAAGGCAAGATGGATGCTCTTTAATTTCCAGTGTGCTGTTTATCTCCAAAGCAGATTTTCCATTTGATAGAAGTGTTGCGAGGCATTACTCCTAAGTGTCAACTAGACCCTATGTACATATAGAATATATAAAGAACTAGGATATTTTGCACCTATATTAATAATTTTCCCACCAAAAAACCCATAACATATTTTAGCACGTGAATCCTGCCCCGATAGGTGGCAGAGCTTTTCCTCAGCCACAGCGATCACACAAATTTCTAGCCTACTTTCTTTAATATAGGGTGTGTTTATGAAATAGGCTGTAATAGATCCTTCAGCACGTTTCATAGACTTTTTTTTTTCTTTTTGAACGGATGGAGGCACAAGCTGAAACAAATGGCAAGATCTTGAACAGCTTGAATAATTAAAAACTAATTAAAAATTGGTGACCATAATCTCCCAAGTGCTGATACTTTTTCCTCTTTAAAAAAAAAAAAAAGAAACTCCATAAGTTACAAACATGTAATTTCGTTCTTATTCAAGAACTCTGAATAAATTTTCTTATGATATCACAGGTCTCCAGGACCTTGCTCTTCACATTGCTTAACTTCCACGAGCCTCCAGCAGTACACCCTCAACACACCAGTCCTATCAGGAGGGTGAAGCCTCCGAGATGTGTCTTTCAATAGCTCATTTTAGGGTTCTTTAAGACAGCAAGTCTGTAAATACGGTGCAAAACCTAAAGCAGAAAATGCACGAAGTTTCTGCTTCCACTCAGCATGTCTGGGTTTAGAATAATTCTTCATGCTACATGTTGCGGCTCTGTACAGAAGATATTTATAGATATTTAAACCTGCCTACCTACGGTTATGTTTCTAATTACATTTCAGGCTTTTAGAGTGCAGAGCCATTGACTTCTTTAGGAGGCGCTGAATGGTCTAGCACTCTGATGACTGAAGAGAAACTCTTAGCCACCTAAATTTAGGCACCTCATTTTAAAAACTTTGGCCCAGATATGTGAACCCAGAAAAATGACTTACAGAAATTCATTTCAAATTCCCTGGCTCTTGCGGCTCCCCAGACTTAGCATTTATTCATACAAATTGCTCACTGTTGCAGATAAATCACAAAATGTAGCCAATGCAATAACTCTGCACCTGAGCATTATTTAGTTCTGCTTTGTTAACGTTGGCAGCACTTTGCTTTTCTCTATATGTTACGGCACCTGGCTATTTTGGCTTTGTCTGGATGTGTTAGAGGGGTGAACAGGGAGAAAATCTACAAGTTTTTGCCCTCTCTTTCGTTACTGCCAGCTTTCCTAATAGCTGCTATTCCTCCATTAGGTGGTCAGTTTAATTTTCCTGCCAGCTCAAAAGAAACGCAAGGGAGACAATTACCAAGGGAGACAATTTTTCACTGCATGCTTAGGGAGAATTATCTTGTCAGAAGTGTTGTCTCTAGTGGTTCTCATCTGCTTTGACACCAGGGATAGTTAATTTCCCATAATGCTGTTTATGATGATGGTGAGAAATACTGTGCCCTGTCTGGGTTGATTTTTCTCTTTCAATTTCTTTGTGATTTCCCTTTGGGGATTTTTGTCTCTTAAAGGGGTACTTCGCCTGGTGGGCATGAGAAATAGATTGAGGGATGTGTGTTGCCCATCTCTTCGGTTTGTGTAGGCTGCACAAAGGAATAAGGTTTTAAAACACAGTTACTTAGGCAAGTAATTTATACTACTTTCTTTTTTTGAAAAAAAACCCCACAGTATAAACTAAAAGTAATATTAAAAATGCTGGTCTTGGTTACTTAGCCATCTTTTGGTTTGTTTTTTTGCTAGGATCAGGTAACAGCACTCCCTTTGCCTATATTAAGGATGGATATCTTGTCGTTCCACTGCAGCCTTGTAAGTCGTGGGCGTTTATTCTAAGCCAGTCATCTGTAGTCAGTGTCATGAGAGAAGGTGATTCATCCCATCTGACGCTAAATATCTGAGAGGCTTATTATGCAAATGTGTTCTGGAGAGGAAGGTGGTTGATGATGCTCCTGCCCAGCCCAGTGATGCAGTCTACAGAGCCTCTCTGTACCAGTGCAATTGGTTTTGAGGACACACACTATGAACAGGGTGCAGAAATTATCCAGATTACAAAACAGTAACTGGAAGTATTTTGTTCCTATGGTTTTGGGTTGTTTTTTTTTTTTTTTTAACCAGGTTCATTTTAGTGATTCATAGGGCCATTTATAACACAGCGATAAGAATACCTGTTGAATAAATGCTCATTCTGGCACAGAAGAAAGAAGTGGTTGAAGGCAGGGATATTCAAAACTTTGTGTAATGAACTGCCTTCTGAAATACATGTGTACGCTGGGACTGTCTGGTTTTATTAGGTGAGATGAATCCACAGTAGTTGTTTAACTGTGTGTTAAGCAGGACATCAGCGATATCATTAGCACTGTAGTGTACACCTCTTGATGCTTGATATTGCTTTATTAGACTGTAAAGTACCTTGAAGTGAGCTTATCTATGTCAAACAAAGGGGGCAGTTAGAAACTTCTACGTATATTGCCAAATCCTTCCACTGAAGTCCTCAGTACTAGCAGTGCTGTTTGCGTTAGCAGTCTTTCCCAATTTTAGCCTCTTAGCGAACCATGAGGGTTATATGGGTATGACTAAGTGTGCTGTCCCATGAGATGGGCTCTTTCTTTATAACATGTGGTGATTATCCAAGTCCACACCAGGAAGCCAGAAAAAATGGCCATGCAAATCATAGCTTTCTCTGGGGTCTTGTGTAAGTATGAAAAGAAGATTACTTATATGAACTTCACTTGAGTGTCTTAGAGCAGTGTTTTTCATTAAATAGGTTAGCTAACAGTCAAACCATCAGAGTTGTAATGAGGCCGAGGCAGTATATTTTGGGAGGCATATTGAAAAGAAAGCCAGCCTCCTAGAATGCATTAGATATATCATGCAGAAGTTAAATCTCATTAACTGCATGTTCTATGTGCAGTTGTTCATCATAAGATCCCTTACCATGTTGATGTACCACGCTGCTCCAATATGCTTTTGTGGTACATCTAGGCAGTATCTTCATGGTACAGGGTGCTTTGGTTTACGTACTGGAGTCAGAGAAATGTGACTACCACCGATCAGATACCGTGGAAGAGATGAAAAGAGCTATGCTGAAGCAATGCCAATAGCAATGAAAGCAATCAAAATGAGCTTTATAGTGCCTTTTTGTATAAGTTCTTTTTGGAATATGTTTCACATGTTTTATTTATTTTTATTATTATTATATTTCTTTTTATTTTTGTAGGCTGTGGAAACCAACCTTGCATCAAAGGATAGTCACTGGGTCTATGTAAATGAGGTAAGAAAGTCAAAAGAGACAACATAGCTTGGTACGTTCACTCATCACTGTTGTTTCATACGTTTTGACACACCAGACTGAGCATACACTTAGCATTTTTGCTTTTTGAATGGTACAAGATGCACACTGTGGTGTCGTTGCTTGTCTGTCTCAGCTGAATTGGCAAAGGTTGAATACCAAAGGTCAAAATAAAGCTTCCAATGTACCTCCTAGCAGCTGGGAGACTATTTTTACCTTCATGTCGACCCTACTTCATTGGCTGTTTAGGAAACAGAGAGTATCTCAAAAGAAAACCTCAGATACATGCACCTGTGTCTACCACAATCTCACCCTTCACTGCTACAAAAGCCTGCACTCAGATATCGAGAGAGGCTAGTTGCAGGCTTAGCTCGTTCGAATATGCATTTATATGACACACAGGTTTTCTCTAGTGCAGAATTGTGTTGGTGTCTTGGCCAAGATCCAGGATAGCATAGAATTAAAATGTGATATTTCCTCTCTGCAGCAAATGGCATCCTGTCCTGCTACTACAATTATTTATTTTACCTTAGTACCAAGATGCCCGAATGGGAATCAGTGCAGACATATATTTAAAAAGCAATGGAAAGCTTGAAATGTTGTACCATATATAATAATTTATAAATCATTGGCTGTTCAGGATAAATGGCACTGCTTTATATATTTCTGGTTTTAATAATGATTCATTAAAAGATAGTAAAATATCTAAGTTAAAAAGAACTGTGTTCACTGTTTTATTTTTATGTTATAAATGCATAGCCTCTAATTTAATAACCAATTCCTGTGTTAATTTCTCATTCCTTTCTTTGCACCTAGCTAATAATTTTGGATAGGCTACTTTTAATAGTAACTATAAATTGTATTGTGTGGCATTAGAAAGGCTCTGTAATTAAATAGGGGTTAGGGAAAGCAAGTGAAATCTCTGCTTTATAAATTCTTTCTCGTCCTTGTTATGTTTAAGTACCTCCTGATTTGTCAGCTGCAGTAATGACCCACTACAAAATATCAGCAAGATGCCCAGAGAGTCAGTGTTTATATTCACATAAAGATAATGCAGCACATATTTCCCTAAACATTTATAGAGAGGGAGTGTTTGTGAATTTGTTATTGCTGCTGTTATTGTTCAGATGTTAAAACTCACTTCATGAAGCCTGAATCTGTAGCACCACAAATAAAACCCTTCAGCACTCATGCACAAACATGTGCTTACACACACATACATACATACACAGACACATCACACAAGGTGTCAATTCTGCTTTTATTTTGGGAACTTTTATGTTTTCTCTTTTTTTTGGCTAGAGACTGGTTAGGGAAGTTATGATAGCAGAAAGTAAATCCAATGTATATCTTTTTAGTGAAAAATATTAGTGTGCATACTTGTAAATATCTCAAAATGCAATTAAATTCGAACAGGTAATTACAGAAATTTTTCAAATTCATGAAACTTTGGAGAAGTCTTTGCAGGCAAAAAGAGGAGGAAATGTCTTGATTATCCTTAACAGAAAAGTGTTGGTCTTTGTGTGCTTAAAACTACTGTGAAAAGAAGATACGTTAAGCATCCACATAGATATATCTGTAGAAAGATGGAGGTTCCTCAGGGCTTGCTTCTTATTTAATAGTGTGCATCCCCCCGTGCTAGCAAGAGGACAGACTGATTATGCTTCCCATGTACGTGTTGCCCGTTGGTATCGGTGCGAACGGCATGTGTACTGGATGGAAAGTATGTTATTCCTTGACTGGATGTTGACTGGTGGTGTGATTTGCAGAATGGAATTAACTTTTAATTCCCAGCAGTCAAATCAGCTCTTTTTGATGTAACTCCACATGAGCAGCAAGCCAGGTGCAGTCCATTCTGTAAATGGGATAGATACTTAGGCAGTCTTTTTTATTTCTCCCAGGAAGACTGAGGATCCCACACTTTCCTGTTCACCCTGTGGTCTGTGTGACCTAACAATCCCAGTGCAAGGAAAGAGAGGTCTAGGGCTCGCTGACCCGAAGGGGCAGTTGTATGAAGAGAACACCGTGACAATTATTTCCATTGAGGTTCCTTGTATGAAGAGCGTTGGATTGTGCACAGGCTCTTTAGGCTTTTCTCATGTCAGGGAGCCATTTAAGGGCATGCTACAGGTTAGATTACTGAGTTCTACTGCTCTTGAGGACCTTCCACAATCTGCCCTGTCTCCCACCTCTCGTAAAGCCAATGAGGATCTGAACCTTGGACTTACCCTGCTATAGTGAGAATGACTATATAGCAAGGTATTATTTCAATATGAGATTTTATTATTGTCTTACTTGAATTAAATCTACTTTACTCTGTTGACAATCTGATAAACATTTGGGGTTTCTTTTTTTTCCCCTCATGCTTCTGTCCCATGTGGCAGGACAGGAGTTAAATTTTGGAGTTCAAACGTATTTTATCACTTTCATTTTGTTAGGTGAGCAACGTCACCAAGCTTGTGATGTGCTTACTTAAAACCGCATGGGTGGTAAGCTTATTACACAGCAAATGTACAAATGTGGAATATAAGAGTTGGTCTTAGATTACAGAGCTGTACTGTCAAGACCCTGCATTTGCTAGTTTCCAGAAACCCAAGTCTTTGTGCTGAGGTGTCTCTTCAGTTCGTTTGCCATTGGTGGTGCAAAAGGACTCAGTCATCTTTAGAAAAAGGCTACTAAATTGGGAGTGGGATTCATTGTATGGGGTTGGAAGGCTGAAACATTACATGGCAAGTCTTTCAGGATAAGAGAATACATAGGGATGGGGTTTTGCAGGCAATATCATGCCCTCAGACGCCCCTTTTGAAGCCAGAGTCATAAAAACCTTACTGTTTTAAAAATACATATTTGTAAGTATGTCTACTTTTCCCATTTCAGGCATTTTAAGTTTCAAACTTGTAGAGCTGTCAAAAGCAGTGGAGATTTGAGGGGAAAAAAAGAAATTTATTTCTAACCACCCTCCCCCTTTTAGATTTATATTTCATCATCTTCACTTTTATTCATCTAGAAATACTAAATCATTCCTTGCATTTGTTTAGGTAGTGATTCTACCTGAATTCTGGGTTAAACATGCCAAGTAACTTTTTAAAAGCAAGAATATTTGTGATTTCTGTATAAATCCTTGCAAAAGTAAAGAACTCTTCAGAACAATGACTAGTCCAGCTTTGTCTCCAGAATAGTCCAGAACATTTTATTACCATTGGCTGTGTTGGGAGCTGCCAATGACCAGCAATTTTGACCCTAAAGAAGATCTGTTAGAATATATCTGGTGTTCTGCTTGTACGTTTGATGTTTATGCCTTTAAGTGTTGATTAAGTGACCTACCAGCTTTGATAGATATGTGCTGTTTCTGCTTGTGGCATGACCGGCACAGTTGTAGATGCCCCCCTTTTTTTGGTGTTTATTTCCTGTCTTTTTTCCTGTTTTACTTTCTCATGTCTATTTTTGTCTTACATTTCTTTCTCTTTGGTGCCTGACATCAAGCATCTTTGTGGGTTCTTCCTGACATTTTTCATTCTCCCTTTCTCTTTTTCTGCCTCTTGAGAGAAAATGCTCTGCATTGCCCAGGGCATATGGCTGTGGGAGAGGCATAAGAGCAATACTTGAAACTGAATTTGTATGTGGTTGTACTAGGAGCAATGCTCTAGGAGTCTGTGTCTGCTTTTTTATTAGCAACAGCAGTAGGTCTGGGGGTATAAATAGCACTAGAAACCATGTTTCCCTTTTTGTGGGACATTTCATGGTTTTGAAATTTTCTCCATTCCAAGGGGAGAGAAAAGATAAAAGTAATTGGTCTGCAAAACTGGAATTTGGACCAAAAAAAAGTTCAAATTAAACACATTGTTTTATTCCCTCATATCAATATATTTAATTCTAATTCTAAGTTTCTAAACATTCATTATTTTTACATGTAAATCAACAAAGTACACAAAGCAATCAACTGCTCTTCATGGAAATGGAATGGGTACTGAATTTGACTGATAACTCAAATAAGTTGTTTCACCTTTATCACATCCTTCCTTTAATTTCTTTTTCAGCAAACTTTCATCACTATTCAGAAACTTAATTGAAAGTTGTAAGACATGGTAGGACAAAGCACAAGGCTACTGGTTGAGAGAGGAGATAATTTTTTGTGAAGGACAGGTAGGGACGAAGAGAGGACAATGTAGTGCTGCATGTCCAAACCATACATGCTTGCTCCGAAGTGAAGGAGAGGTCAGGGTCAAACTTGTTGAGTAGCTGCATGGAAATACACAAAAGATGTACACTGAGGAATACTTTTTTTTGAAAGTGTATTTTTGACAGAAATGGCCCAAAGACAAGAAATAATGGAGGATTTTAATTTCCGTGGCAGTTGAAAAAGTAACGTTGGGACAAAGACAAGGCTTCACAATTTCCTGTGATTGACAATGTTGTCCCTACAGGTTTAAAAAGTTAAGGCAGCCGTTGGTTCAGATTTCATTATGGCTAAGGAAGAATGGGCAAAGGAAGTCAGGAGGTAATTGGTGTGAAAGTGATCATGAGATGGTAGCATGCACTTTTTGAAGAAGAGGAAGAAGTGAGAAAAGGCGAAGAGGGATAATGGACTTCAATAAAAAGATTGTCCAACTTCACAAATTTAGGGAGCTAGTAGTGCTTTTGGAAACATAATATGGTGAGTAAAGGATGGCAAAAGAACTGTGGAATTCTGTGAAGGTGAAGGCGTAATAAGGTATTGTTAGGGTTGTGATGGGCTCTCTCTACAGATGTTGAAATCAGAGAAGAATTCTAAAGAAAAAGTGGTGGAAAAAAGAGGGCTTAAGGAGGAATGTAAAGGTGTAATGAAGTAAACTATTATAAAATGAGGCTTAGGTGCAAAATGAGTCACAGCAGGGGTTATGAAAAGCAACAAGAAAAGTTTAGATATGGCAGAAGACAAAGGAAAGTGTAAGGTGATTCCTTAATGGAAAAATGTAGGTTTGATGTTTTTTACTGACTGACTT